AGCTTTCCAAATGTATACATTTGTTTTTCAATAAATTTAGGAACTATTGTGCTATTTTTTTCAGAAATTTCTCTCTCCTTTTGCTCTCTTCTTTCTTTGTTGTACTGCCATTATTTTGGAGTGTTTAATGGTGTCATTTTTTTTTTCCTGAGGCACTGTTTATTTTTCTACAATATTTTCCCTCTATTATTTGGATTGTAGAATCTTCATCGTTAACTCCAAGTTTCCCATTTAGTTCTTCTGCCAGTTCAAATCTTTTATACTGCAGTGATTTATTTCAGCTCAAGTTTCCATTTGGATCTTATTCTTAATTTCTTAGTATTCTATATTAGTATTCTGTAACAATATTCTATGACATTGCCATGATTCTTTATTTCTTTAAACATGGATGTCTTTAGATCTTTGATGTATTTATATTATATTCATATTGACAAATCTGAAGTCTTTATCTTTTAAAGATGGTTTTTAATCACTCTAACAGGTAGTTTCTGCTTCCTGCTTTTTTTCTGGAAATGCATCATTGTTTTACTTTCTATGGCTTATACTTTTGTTTATAACTGGATATTTTATATAGTAGAGTAGAAACTCTAGTCATTGTTCAGTCCATCCCCAATGCAACATATCCAGATCTTGATTTCATTCTTTTTGTGTTTACTTGTTCAGTGACTGTAAAGTCACTGGATTATTTTAGTAAAATCTGTCTTTTCCAATAGCCCTACAGTACTAAGACTCTGATGTTGCTTATTAAGTGACACAGCTTTGGATAGATCACAGCAGCCCTCACATAACAAGTTTTGTCAGGATTTACTTTGTCCCTTTTTCTGTTATACCCAAATTTTAAGCATAACAAATTACTTGCTGATTGCTATTATTTCTACAATGTCCTAGTACATACATTTCAAAACAAAATAATACCATCAAATTGAGGCTTCATTTGTAGAGATTGCTATTGAGGTCAGTATTCAAAAATTTTTTCTGACCTCAAGAAAGCTTTTCCTGCTATGTCTTTAGAGGCTTTCATAAATGATACTGAAACATTCAGGTACAATGGATTAATCTTGGGATGCTGGACAACAATATGACTGAATGTTAATGATCTTGTGTGGATTCTGTATTTTTTGAATGCTCCCATAAATCTCAGTGCAATTCTTAATCCATATTATATCAGAATTGCCTGACCTCTCCACAAGTAAAATATGTTTCTTGAAAACAAAAGATACATCCTTTGTGTTTTGTTTTCTCCATAATTAATTCAGTGTCTTGAAAAGAATAAATTATTCACAGTTATTATTCTCATATATGAGAAAAGTGAACACTTTTCACATTTTGGTGAAGAATAAATGCCAATTAACTTCTGTTTTTAGTCCTTGAATAATGCTTTACTACATTGCTTCTTGACAAGAGGGAATATTTTCACTGCTTCTCATCAAGGGAATTTATTGGCAAAAAATTTTAGGAAATTCTAATGATAAAGATTCTAAATTTTAGGAAATTCTAATGGTAAAGTCCTGGAATTGTAACTAATAATGTTATTGAAGAAAAACATTATACAAAGAGGGGAAGGAGTTCCACATGTCTGCTGAAATATGTAGATATAACATTCATTTTTATATTGCTTGCTGATATGCATATAACTGTGCTATAATTTATGGTAAATGTATGAATCATTTCCAGCTTGGCCATTTTGCAATTATTGCCTCTATGAATGTTCTGTATATGTCTTAATTTACACATGTACACACAATTCTCTAGTATATATACCTACAAGTATAAAAGACCACAGGGTATGAGTATTTCTAAAATAATTCTATAACACTAAATTGTGGGTCATTAAAGAGTTCTTACTGCTCTCCAGTTTCATCAATACTTTTTAACTTAGTCTTTCAATTTTAACCATTCAAGTGAGTATTTAGTGGTACCTAGTAGGGGTTTTAATGTTCATCATAGTTACTTATGAGATTGAACACATTTTCAAATGTATATTGAACATTTGGAGATTCTCTTTTATGAAAAAATCTATTCATATCTCTAGAGAAATTTTTATTATCCTTTTGCAATTTTTTGGTAGGGATTATTTATAAATGACTAGATGAGAGACTTTTGCCAAATATATCTTACACACATTTTTTTATTGTAAGGAATTTTTTGTTAAATTTTTATGTTGTAAAATAAAACAAACACAAAAAATTATTCAAGTAAATACAGAGCTCAGTGACTATTGCATGAGGCAAAACCCCCTTCAATTACTACTTAGAGTAAAATAAAAAAGAACTTTGCCAGTCAGAGGTTCTTCCATGTGTTCCCTCAGAACTGGCCACTACCCAAAAGTCATAGCTATTCTAAATTTTACACTAATCAATTCCTTAAATATCCAGCCATAGTTCCTTTTTGATTAACAAAATTTCTCAATTTTGACTTATACATCTTTCACTTTTAGTTAAGAATTTTATGTAAAGTTTACCCTAGATGCGGTGGCGCAAGCCTGTTAGCCTAACTACTCAGGGAGGCAGAGATTAGGGGGCTCTATGTTAGAGGCCAGCCTGAGCAAAATGTTTGTGAGACCCTATCCTGACCAGTAAAAAGCGGGGCATGATGGTGAGCACCTGTCATCCCAGCTATGTGGACAAGCACAAAAAAGACGATTGCAGTCTAGGCAGGCCTGGGCACAAAGTGAGACCCTATCTCAATAATAATCAACGAAAAAGGAGCTGGCAAAGTGGCTCAAGTAGTAGAGCAAATGCCTAGCAGGTTCAAGACCGTAAATCCAATCCCCATTATGTGCCCGCAAAGGATTTTTATGTAAAGTTTAAACAATATTTCCTACTCTAAGTTGGTAAAGACATATTCTTAGATTGTCTGTTAAAATTTTTATTATTTTGCCTTTCAAGTTTAGTATTTGATATCCAGAAATTTATTTTTGCCAGACTTGTTTCTCCCATATGGATTTGCTGTTTTATTAGCACCTATTATTAAAACTGTCACTATCTCACTATTCTGTAATACTATGTTTTCCATAAAGAAAATGTCCAAGTATTTGGGTATTTTCTATGTTTCATTTTGGCTTATCAACTGATATCCAGTAGGGAACTAACAATCACTGCCCACAGTAAATATAACAGGCAAAAGCAGATTAATTCACCTAAATTTAGCTATACGAACTTGAGTCTAGACTTTATTTGTTATAATTTAATTTAGGGGAAGTGTGTTAATTCAATCATGTGTATAATGTGTAATAATTAAGTCAGATAGCATTTCCATCTTCTTAAATATTTAAAAAATTTAATTAACATGAAATAGTTGTATATAATTTTGGGGTACAGTGTGATATTTCAGTATAGGTATACAATGTATGCTGATCAAATAAGGATAACTAATGTTTCCATCTCCTTATCACTATTCTATGTTTTAAGCCTTTGAGCTCCTCTCCTCTAGTTATTCATGAACTATAAAATACGTTATTGTGAGCTATCGCCACTCCATTGTGCTGTTTTACACTACAGCTTATTTCTTTTGTGTTATTCAGCCTCTATTATTCTCCTTTCCCTCCTGTCTTCCTATCCCTTAGCAGTCACTATTCTGCATTCACGTAGTCTTTTTAAGTTTCCACTATGTGCAAATATGTGACACTTGTGTTTCTGCATCTTATTTCACTTAACATAATATCCTCAAGTTCTGAGGCTAATCTTTTATAATATTTATATTGTATTATTTATAAGCCTTATCTCTTCCCTGGATTGAATAACACACTGTCAGGAGTGGAGCCAAAGAAAAGAACACTCTTGCTATTGCAATAGTGATGATAGGCTGAAGACAGTCAAGATTTTGGATGCACATGTGCCATGAAAACAACCCACACAAGGTAGGAGAGTCATGCAAGGGGTAACCTTCATCGATTGACACACTTAACTATTTCATTCCATTATTTCATTTATTTCATAACAGTCACATATGTAATGGAATTAAAACTGCTGGTATTTTCTGCACAAATTTTATATATACCAATTCTCAGTACAAAATGTATGTCTTCCATAGAAGTCACAGTGTTGGTTAACAGCAGAATTGAGAAAAATATTTAGGAAATTTCGTAGGACTTTATGTTTGACTATTAGCAAGATCACTCAATATTCTTCTGTGATATCAACTCTTCTTTGGTTCCTGTTAATATAAGGAAATGATACCATTTTCACCTGATTTCTCTTTTACACAATGTATGCTTTGGTAACATTATCTGAAAATAGTTTTTTGTCAACTATCTCAATACACAACATAGCTCATTAATATTTGCTTTTAAATGTCTTCACTCTAGAAAAAACAGAAGTGTATTTCTCACATCCGTGATTCCCAAATAATTGTGCATATAGATAGTAATGTTTTGTTTACTCACACTATGTTGCAAGATTTCTCATAGATTCCAAAGTTAGTATTTCTCAGAAACTGGTAGGTCACATCATGAATAGGGTATTTTAAATATTTAGTAATCAGTTTGGTGTGAATACTTTACAAATACAAATTTGTTGTTGGTGTTTTTTTTGTGTGTGTGTGTGTATCCAGATATACACAAAGAGCCAGTTGGTGGATTTTACAACATATATCTCCTATCAGAAATGTTTTATCTCCTGGGATATACAAGTAAGTGCATTTCAACTTGCTCCAGAAAATTCAAAATTTACACGTTTAGATATTGAAAACATCTCTCAGAATAGTGGTTATATGTGCTGTTTTTCATTTCTCCCTTTCTTTTCTCACTTATGAGAAAAGTTAATTGGCTGAATCCTCAAATCAGTAGGGACATTCTTCCCCTGGTACTGGAAGAAGAAGGTTTGGGAAGCTTCCTTAACTTAGTAAATGTCTATAGTGGCCAGTCTCAACTGCTTGCTCCCATAGCTCAACCTCTCAAAAGGGGCAAATGTCATAGACTTCCCAAGAGATCATGGAGTAAACGTTCCACTAAATTCATAGACCATTATGCCATAAATTAAATGAGAAGCAGTAATCCAAAATTAGTTTTTCAAAGAAACTGCCTTTCCCATGATCTTTAGAAAACCATTCTTCATATCCTTATTCCTGAGGCTGAATATGATGGGGCTAAGGAAAGGGGTAATAACAGTATAAGGGACTGCTGTGAGTGTGTCATCTCCGCCAGAGGCTTCTGGCTTCAGATACACAATAGATGCAAAACCAAAGTGGATGATGACCACTGTGAGGTGGGAGGCACAGGTGGAAAATGCTTTCTTCTTGCCCTCAGCTGAAGGGATCTTGAGGACAGTGGAAAGGATGAACACGTATGTCAGGAGGATAAGCACAAAAGTCCCCAGCAAGCCCGACACTGAGATCACTGTCACAATAAATTCTGTGAGGTCATTGCCTATGCAGGACAGCCTCACAACTGCACGCATATGGCAAAAGAAATGTTTGATGAGGTTGGGTATGCAGAAGGAACCCCTGAATATCAATGCAGTCTCTATAAAAGATATAAAGAAGCCTCCAACCCAAGCAGAGGCCACAAGTTGTCCACATGCAACGTTGGTCATAAGAAGGGGATATCTGAGAGGGTTGCAGATGGCCAGGTAGCGGTCATATCCCATCAAAGTGAGAATTATACAGTTCGTACCACCGAGTCCCAGGAAGAAACACATCTGTAAACAACAACCTACAACTGAAATGCTTCTGTTCTTGGCCAGTAGATCTGCCAGCATCTTTGGGATGACAGCCAAAGTGTAGCAGGTCTCAGAGAAGGAGAGTGCACTAAGGAAGAGGTACATAGGAGTGTGGAGAGATCTGTACGCCCAAGTCAAACCCATGATAAGCAGATTACCTGCAAGAGTGAGAATGTAGAGGCAAAAAAAGATCACAAAGAGGAATGCTTGTGCATGTGGATAAACAGAAAAGCCCATAAGAATAAAGTCCTTCAGGATTGTCCCGTTGATCTTCACTGTTTGCATGTCTGAAATTTGAAAGAAACATCAACTAAACATTCAATTCTCCATCATACTTCAATATCATTAAATGAAAATTATGATGTGATTAAGACAAATCATTAGTTAGAACCACCTACTAATTTTTCATTTGCTTTAGCAAAACCATGAATATGTAAGTGATATATTTGTTCTACTTCACATTCATTCATTTCTTCCTTTATTCAGCAACTAATTTTTATGACAAGAAAGCCTGCTATGGCCTACTTTTTAAATGATTTTATGGTCTGATAATATAATAAAGAAGAAGATATTTCAATTGATATTTCAATGAAGGACACTCAGGTGAGCCACCTTTGCATAAGATTCTGAACACTGAAAAATCTTGCATGCTTAATAGACAGTTAGTATGTAATACACCAACTTCCACACCCTATATATTCTATAAAAATCTACTGAGTAAAGATTGAGAATTTATTTCCTAGGAATTTAGGACTAAACTTGTACCATGGCTTACAATTGTTAAAGAAACCCAGTCATTATCCTTCTTGAATATATCTAGGTCCTAAAATGTTAAAGGAAATTTAGGACATGGTCCCTTTACTGCTACTCAAGGGAGAGGAAAAAGAATGATAGGATACTCAAGGATTCTTATAAATAACAATGATTAATTAGAATATGTGACAATGAGGAATCTGTATACAGCATAGTACAAGTGACAAGATTCTGCCCATTTCCTTAATGCCAAGGTCATCATTCAAAAAAGATAAATGCTATTTAGTTGCTACATGAATTCTTCAACAATTCTATATCTGATTTTAATCCATCCTCCTGACTTCCACAAGACATTCCTTGTCTTTATGTTTAGCAATTCAGTTTTGTATTATATTGAGCTATTGACTTTCCTGTTCCACTTGTCAATGTATTTAATAACTACCATTTATACAGACATTTTTCCAAATTCCTTCAAATGTTTATTGATTTTCCTCTTCATAGCATAAATATGTATTACATAGGACAGCTGTGAAATGTGGATGACAGCTGTGATTATTTTACTTGTTTTAGAAAAAACATTTATACATAAGCAATGATATATTTGAAACTAGAAATCAAACTATTTTGTTTGCTTCTTTAACTGCATATTCTATATTTTCATCAGTGCTTTCTTCTTGAGGAATGAGCCATATTTCTATATCTGTCAATGTGATAATATAGAACACTTCAAGAAGCTAAAAAATCCCAGTAAATCTCTGATGGATGGATTAATAAAAAAATTGCTGGGCTGGTGGAGTAGCTCAAGTGGTAGAGTGAGTGCCTAGCAGGTCCAAGGCCTTGAGTTCAACACCTGGTATTGCCAAAACACAAGATTAGATTATTTTTTTAAAGTGATTAATCTATAACCAATTTCTGCTTTGCTTTGTTATTCAGCATTGTGATGTCTGAGCATTACTTTCCACTATAAATAGGTTTAGTTGAGCCTAAGATTAAACATCCCCATGGCAGTATCTAACTTGTTACTGACAGTGAGAAAAGGGTTAACAAAATGTTCTCAATTATTAAAAGTTCCAAAGATAATTCACAATCCATCAGACTCTGCCTTATAGGTTGCTTTGATTCTTCTATCATCTTAGACCTGTCTAGACACTTACTCTTTCATAGTCATATAAGAATCACAGAATTTACTCTTTCCTTGTCTTCTACCCTGTCAGGTTCTCATTCTCACATTGTATCTGCATATTCTCTGTGAGAATCTTCCATTGAGGAGGCAAGAGTATTCTGGGTTGTCTTGCCTAAGGGTATATTACAGGGAATGGTGGAAACCTTGGGCTTCCTCATGAGGCCTTTTTATGTGAGCTTCCTTAGTAAACAAATTTAGTATGAGTGTTCCTGGTTTTCAAATTCACTAGCAGATAATCTTTTCTCCTAGCAACAGTTTTCTGCAACATTCTGGGCTTAAACTATTTCCTATCCAGAAGGATTAGGTCTCAATAAGTCCCCTCTGTTACTCCCAAGACATCATAAAAAATACCTCTCATCACAATCAAAATGGGACATGTATGTATATGGGGGACTGTGTGTGTGAGGGATCAGTGGAGGGGGAGGGGAAAGGATACTGAGGGGTGAAGAGGATTGGAGTGGGCTATATATATATACACACACACACACATATATGTGAAGACAGTATAATGAAGCCCATGAAAAATTGAAAGGGAATGAACAGAGAAAGGAGGAAATGGAAATATGATGGAGGGAGTAAGTACATTCAAAGCACATTTCAAGGTATGCATGTATGGAATTATCATAATGAAATTCCTTTGTTTTATCAGTGTACGCTAATTCAAAAATTATCTCCCCCCATCAGCAGAACATTTCACATACTAAAACTCTTAAAGCTTCCCTGACTCTTCACAGCAGCAATATAGGAGAGGCACTTATATGGATTCATCTTTTTTTGTAGTTCTGGGGACTGAAATGGGCCTAGTACACACTAGGCAAGTGCTCTATCACTTGAGCTCTACGCCCAGTCCTTTTGTTTTTTGAGACAAGATCCTGCAATGAACCCCGGCTGACCTCAAACTCATGATCCTCCTGCTTCTCCCTTCATAGAAGCGAGCATTGTAAATGTATGTCACCATGCTTGGTTTTATATGGATTCTAAAACTAAAAGGTTAAGCAAATAAATCAAATGACAAGACAGAATATAATGGCAATACAAGAAACTGGTTTATTCTCTGGTGTTCTTGGAACAAAACCTAGGATCTTTCTACATATTATATGCAAATAATCTGATTTTATATATTATATACCATCACTTCCAATACAACCAAGGAATGGAAGGGTTGTTTTCAGAGCCATTATTAAATTTAAAAGCATTCTGAAAATGAAAAGAACTACCAACACAAATTTCCAAACATGTTTTTCTTTATCTAATCCTTGTGTGCTTGGTAAGTCACCAATAGTATAACATCAAAATCTCCCTCTACTTGTGGCATAGTCTGAATATGTGTATTGCAGGTTGAGCGTATATCCTCCCCAAACACACACTATCATCTATCTCTGAAATTATTCTTAAATCTACTTTATAGCAAATTTAATTTGGAATATGCATCCACTGACAAAAGAAGTACACATACTCACCAAAGTCAAAGGGAAATGGTGACTGGAAGAAAATGTAATTTTGTTTCAAAGATCCTTTCTTTTTGTAGTAACAATTAGTAGAAGAGAGTCAAAGGACCTAGAATGGTTTCGTTCCTGTGTCTCTTATCAATGCCAATTCACTCTCACAGTTAAGGTGGTCTTCACACTGTTGTAAGAAACATGTTTGTTCTCCCTTAAAAGAAATGGAAATTGGCTTACTATGAAAATCACTAGTCTAAGATTCTGGACTCTTACTTTTATCACTGTTTGTTTAGTAATCTTGAGAAGGTTGCTGCACCTGTTAAATTTCAGTTTCCTCAGCTGGGAAGCAGGGAGGGTTCTGACTTTGTATAAGGTTCAGTCTTTTTGGTTCTAGAGTTTTGCAACAGGAGTTAAAAGGCTAAGACAAATGTCCTGTGATGATCAGTCCTCACCACCCTCTAAATTACAAAGAGTAGATCCTTCTTTTCTACCAGTTAGGAGACATTGATTATTGTCAAAGTTCATGTTTCCTCAACTCTGGAGGTTTGGCTCTGGTTAGGATATCCCAGGGGATCCCTCTCATCTTTCATCAGACAGAGCAGAAAACTTTTTCACCCAACTTCATAATTTTCCCTAATTAGTCTTTAGGTAACAAGTGACTTATAAAATGCTTATGGAAATCTCTGGTGATTTAAGACTTCAGAAGTTCATTCTGCCCATAAATAAGGCTTTCTGCTACTTTGTAAGTTTTATTTTGGCAAGAAGGTTGAATGAAAGGTGCAATTTCAATACTCATGCAATTCACTCTCTCACTGATAGACACTGTCCTTGTCCAAACTTTAGTCAGGTTCTTCTAAGTTCCTTTCTTGTACATAGAACATGGGCTTCAGTATCCATTCTTGCTGGGCCTATGGTAGCCATTCTATCAAGAATCTTACTAAGTCAGTTTAGGGAGAATTTCCCAACCTTTATATTTGAGTTTCTTTAATATCTGAGCAAGTTTTTTTTTTTCCACCACCATCTTTTAAGTATTATCTGCCTTCAACAAGAATCTTGTTAGATTAGTTGAAGAATGATCCTCCCTTAGCAGTAATGTCTCCCCCAAGTAATTTTACAACCATGGACCCCCTTCCTGTTTCATGGCTAGAAATCTCCACTTTTCAATGCTACCTTCAAAACTGAGCCCAGTACTAAAAAGGTCTCTTTTTCCCAATTGCAAAAGTTCCTGAATAAAATCTATTTTGTTACTCTAACTACTAAATGGCTTTGATTTTTCTTTAACACAACTCACCACAAACACACTTTTTCTCTAATTACTGACTCCTTTCCTGGGTACATAAAGAAGGATTAGTATGTGTTAAAGACTTCACCAAGCATTGTCAGAGAACTCAGAAGAAATAAAGAGTGGTGTCTTATTAAACAGGTATTGTCTGGAGTTTGTATCAGTGTGTGTGTGGGGAATATAAGGAAAGCGTGTAGGAGGGTGAATAGAGTGGAAATATTATGTACTCATGTATGAAAATGGAAAAATGAGACCTGTTGAAACTATTCCAGGAATGGGAAGAGAGGGGGGAATAAAGGAGAAAAATGGAGATGAATTCAACTATGATATCTTGTAAGAACTTTTGCAAATGTCACAATGTACCCCTGCAGAACAATATTAATAATATGATAATAAAAAATGTAAAAAAGGGTCTATTCGTCTTTGTAGGAAAAGTAAATTGTGCCACAGTGTGCTGAAATTTAGAAAAATGCTCAGACAATAAATGATGCAAATAACTGGGCCAAGGTGTTCAGAGAAGTATCATGGAGAAGGGCACAGGGAAAGACTTCTAAAAATAAACAGCATTGGAATTTCAGTTTGTGGTAGATTTTAATACCTCATGGCAGTTCTATATATCCAATTATGCAATGACTACATA